TTTATAAAGTTTTGATCAGATAGTTTGTTGTTTATCATTTGCAGCTTGTTTTAGATTGTTGGCGATATTTATCTAGTGAAGTTCTAAGAATTACTGACCATCTCTTAACTCAGAAAGTATTCTAATAACAACATTTTCTTTTCTTTTCTATTTCATTTTGCTCTAGATAGCATTACCATATCATTAAGTGTCACTATAGTGATTTGGTGTAAAATTAGTAGATTTTGGATTAAAAATAGTTTTAAAAAATCATTAAATTTATTTTTTGGGCATCTTTGTCAATACAATCTACACCTTTAAATCTTCATATCAATTAGGTAGTTCATTATTTTCAAATCTAGCTCTTGCTTCTTCAAGACAAGGTATTGCTTCACACATTAAACTCTCTTGTGATATTTTAATGCTTTCAAACGTTATTTACATATTCTTAATATGTGAAGTTAAAATTAAATTGTGACATTTGCTTTAGAATTTGCTCTCTTATGACATTTGTTTACTATAGCGAAAACAACCTCTTTTACCACTCTTTTAAGGGCGTGAAATAAAATCAAATTTTTGGAGATCTTCAAGTATACCTTATATCAATTAATTTTTCATTTTACTCGTCTTGTCAAAACAATTGGGTTATTTTTTCAATTTACTCTTGAAAAAAATCAAATAAAAGAGATTTTGCAAATATCCGAAGATCTGAAGTTAATTTTCATGTTTCAATATGATCACTTAATAATCTTAGAACATCATCTGGAAAATTGATTACTCATTAAAATACTACTTTTGCTAATTTTTATCTTTCTGATTTTTACCTTTATCAACTTCATATTTTATCGATTTTTGATTTATTGGCGATCTAATAAATTTGAAGGTAGGGAAAATTAAACCGGTTGGGTGTTGTTAGTTGTGATCGTGGGTTGTAGGTATATTTCACTAATATATATATGTATAAGGGATAGTGAAGTGGAATTCTCATCGGCAGCTTTCATACTGTGTATTATGCTTACCTACACACAAGGTATGAAAATTAACTTTATGCTTTGCCATTATCTTTAGTTATGTGTTTTAATGGAGCTTAGCATCTGTATATCACTTAGCGATTAAATCTTACAATTACAATGTTCTAGTTGTACCAATCAAATAACAAATTGATTAAGGATAGAATTTGTAACGTTGATCTTCAAAGCTTGCACTAAAATGTTTTTTTTCCTTGGTTATGAAGCTAGGCTTTGCAAATTGTGACCAACATTCTCGAGCTTGTAAGTGATAGGGATTTTGCTAATATATGAACAACCGTATCTACTGCTGAGTGGTTTTCAAGATGCATAGCATATTCATACTATTGGAAGGATTAGTGATGGTCTTTTTAAATACAATTTTTATCCCAATTTTACTACTATAAACACACATATTTTATAGAAGTATATAATATATATTATTCTTTCATTATTCCCAAGAATTGTTTGTTGAATATTTCTTTAGATGTTTCTACGTGTCATTAATGTGTATGTTCACTCATCTTCATGCTCATAGCAGGTAACAAAAGTTTCAAGTCTCAAAGTAAGGTGCCTTTTTCTAGGTTACAACCTTCCATTTAGGTATGATTTCTTAAGATTTATGAACCATGTTATTACTTTTATTACTATTGTTTCTTGGTTTTGTCTAAACTAGATATGTTAATTCTTCTACTTTCAAATATTTATTTACATTTCTAGAAAGAAAGGAAAATTAAAAATTAAGGTGAGATAAGATATATAAACACTTGTTTGTGCTAACACCCCAATGGCCGATCGAGTTTTTTATTCATAAGTTTTGAATAGCTAGTTTTTTTGCTACCATTTGCAGCTTGTTTGAGAATTTTGTAGAGATATTTATCTATTGAAGTTCTAAGAAGTTATTGAAGCCATCTCTTTACTCGAGAAAGTAAGCAACATTTTTTTCTTTTCCTTCTCTTTTATTCACTTTAGCCCCTGTAAGTCAAATCTTGGTTCCGCAACTATATTGCACATTCAATTAAGCATTGCTATATAATTAAGTGTTACTATAGTGATTTGGTATTAATTATTAGGATTTTTGGATTAAAAATCAAAATTTTAATGACGGTATGCGTAGAATATAAATATCAAGTGCACATTTTTATTTTTTGTGTGTAAACAACTTTATCATTAATTTTTATTTGGGGATTTCCATCAATACAAAATCTAACTCTTCTTTTATTGTTCAGATCATTTAGGTAGTTCATTATTTTCAAGTCAAACTCTTGCTTCTTCAAGATAAACTTTTGACGTCAAATTGTCTCCTCTAGGTATTGCTTCACAATTGTAACTCTCTTATGATATTTTAATGCAAATAAAATATCTTTTCAAGCATTAATCTACATTATTCTTAACATTTATACAATTATTTTTAAGAGTAATGACTTTTTCCCACCCAAATAATAGTTTAATGACATTTTTCTACCCCCAGAATTTTAAAATATCACTTTTTTACCCAAGTTTTATATTTTGTTAACATTTCTGTTAATAACAAGATTTTCATTATGAAGATAAAATTCATCTAATCGACCTCACCTAAGGGTGAAAATCGAGCCAAGCAGCTCGGCTCCGTTTTGGCTCGAACTTAGCTTGGCATTAGTCGAGTCAAGTTCGAGTTTGAGTAGTGTTTCGAGTCAGTTCGGTTTGAGTAGTGTTCGAGTCAAGTTCAATCTTAGTAGAACTCAACTCTAAAGGTTCGTGATTTTTTCTAAGCTTGGAGTTAAGTAATGGTTTTTAAAGTAATAGGGTCGTACGTTTTTATAAGTTGTAAAATTGCAAATTTACCCAATTCAAATAATGTAAAACAAGATTTGGTAATAAAAATTAAATCCCTAAATCCAAATATCTCTTCTCTCATTCTTTGTTGTTTCTCTTTCAAAACCGAAAATTGCACTTTTGTTTGTCGTCTTTCTCGTCATCGTTAACTCACCTGCTGTTGACACTCATCCCCATTTTTCTAAGCCTAATTCTAGACGTTACCGATGTCGAAAATCAATGCCTACCCACCGTTAAAAGGTCTTAATCTCTTTTTTCCATCCGTGTGTTTTTTGTCATTGTTCGACTCATCATTCGTCGAAAACTATACTACTTTTTCGCGAAAACACATTTTCAGTCTCATTTGCAGTTGATTAATCGATTAGAAACGAATGTGGTTAGTCCCATTCAAATCATCTTGGTTTGGTCTTTAAAACCCTGGTCTTGGATTGCTTGTTGTTCGCCGTTTGTCAGTGTCAAAGGATTGTTTTTGGCAAGGGATAGTAGTTTTGGCTTTTACCACCAGGTTTTTCTGGAATTTTTGTTGTTGTTTGTTGTTTGTGTAGTTTTCTAGGTGTGGGATAGTGTTTAGTGGTCGAAATCCCCACAAAATTGCATGACTCAATTACACGCCACCTGCTCGCTAAATTGCTTGGACTCGAACTTGATTATAGCTATTACTCAAACTCGATTAAAGCTCGAATAATGGAACTCGATTAAGGCTCGAATAATACTCGATTACAGCCAACTAAGACTCAATTATTTGAACTCGAATTCCAATTTGAGATACCGAGTTCAAGTTCAAACTCGATTCCTTAGGCTCGACCACTTAAACTCGAACTCGAATTCGATATCGTAGCACTTGAGTCGAGTTTGAATACCCAGATACTCGACTCGATTTTAGCCTACCCATTTTCACACGCTAATTGCCAAAAAGCATCCAATTTTTCAGGCTTGTTTCTGATCGATTGGCACACCAAAATTCACTCTTCCACCACATGGAACCTCCTTCACGCCATCTTCAAAACGCACCATTCAATCGACTTTTGCCACTCGTAGTTTGCCGTCCACCAGTCATTTTTGGGCACCCACCACCTGCTCGTAAAATTCCCCAACCAACCTGCCCCTGTGAGCGCTTGCGCAACCTGCCAAGAATACAAAAGCGTGCCTGGATTCTATCTCTTTGTGCATCATTGTTTGCCAATCAGGTCACTCTTGTGTTTGTTTTTGTTGGTTTGTGTTGGGCAAGTGCCATCTTGTTGCAGCCGCTCGACTGGAAGTGCTAGGTTGAGCTCGACCTTTTGTCAAATAGGTTGCGTGCAAGGGAAATAGGAAATGTTGAAGCTTTGGGAGTGCCAATGACCGGAAAGCAACCACACAAAGAACAGAATTCACTCATAGAAACCTTCCTTCGTCATCTTCTAGCATCAAAAACCTATTCAGGTCAATCCAAGTCATCAATCAAATAAAAACCCTAAACCTAGAAAGAGGGGTAGTGATGACCGGCGGACGTTCGACGAGTAGAGGGTGTTGGGAATGTTAGAGGTTTTGGAGAGGACATGCCGGTGGATGTGATAGTAGTGCTAGAGTAATTTATGGTGATAGGATCGCCGGAAATGAGCTTGACGCAACAACCAACCTACCTAGACCATCCTGCCTTTAATTGTAATAAAATTTGACTATTCTACCCTTCTTCCCAACAAAATTTACTAACGGAATTGTGTTTTATGTAGTAAAATGGTGGGAAAGTGTCATTAGGATATGATTTGGTGGCAAAAAGTCATTTACTCATTTTTTAATGTTTATCTTGTTAATCCGAAGTATACATGTTGACTACATAAAATTTTATTTTTTACTTGATATCTAATTGCTGATTAATTGGAAGGAATTGTTAAAATTTGTTTGAAAATATTTAGGACTTACTTTATATAACCCTTTATGAGATTGGTAAATATTAATTTTTTGCATGGTTAGCAAAACTATCAAATACCCTCTTATCATACAGGTTTATGAACTTGTATACGGGGATTTGATAATATCATGGATATGGACGACCCAATCCTCAAATTAAAAAAAAAAAAAAAAGTATTTTATTTTTTATTTAGGGATGGGTTTTCATCCCCCTCCCCGTGCCGTTCCGGAAATCAATTTGGGGATAATTTTTTCATTCTCATCCCTGTCTCATTTGTGAATTTTAGCTTAATTGCCTCTCCCATATAGGGCAAGGACAAGCGGGGACTCGTCTTGACGGGGAAATTTGTCATCCCTTTCATGGAGGGATTTTTAATAATTATGGGGAGACATATAATAGTTTCTAATAATGTGTGTTGTTTTACATCAATAGTTCTTACAAGGAGTTGTAAAAATTAAACCAAAAATTTAAGTCAAAAGATAGCATTGTCACTGTACTATTGTAGCAAATATTGTGACTGAATGTTACTTACCTAGATTCCCAATTATTAATTATTATATCTTTATCATCGGTATAAAAGGTGAAATTAGTTTATAACAATTTGTAAGATTTGCTTTAGAATTAGTGTGTTTGTTTATAGGTTCTGCTTATTTTACCCCTTAATTTTAGGCAGAACATAAAAAATATCCAATTTTTGGAAAATTTTCAAGTACAATCTCTTAGATCAATTTATTTTCTATTTTATTCTTGTCGATCTTCATCAAAACAATTTGGTTGTTTTTTCATTTTATTCTTGAAAAGAAATTAGATTAATAACTTTTCCTACACTACAAAATTTTTTTTTAACCAACATCCCTCATTGAGAAAGATTTCTAAAATATGAAAATTCTCAAATGCGGACCATAAAAAACAAATTAAAACTGAACACTGTTTTCCACATTTAATTTACGAAAGACCACCTTCCAGTCTTTGTTCTTTAGGTTTACACATGAGACTAAATTAAAAGGCAAGGATATTTTAACATAAATTTTAATGCTAATGTTAGTTGTACATTAATTTGAATCAAATAATGTTGAATCCGTTGATAGTTGTTGACAAAAATAATTACTATTTAACCTGAACTTCTGAATGCACATATCTTCATAACTTAAAATTAACCCAATAGCCATGAAACTGACAGCTAGTAGTCTCGTACCCAGTTAAACACTAACATTAATATGATATCCTAACACAAAATTGACCCAAATTTTTTTAATTGTTTTATTATATGAAAAAAAAAATAGAATCTAGTTTCTAATAATGGAAATACGTATGAAATACAACTCGTAAATGATATCAACCTAAAATTGTTTGGAGGCTCTGGTAATGCTTTTATTTGGCTAGTTCAAAGGTACTTAAGAAATCGGTTTACTAATGTTTTTAAGGAAACAGATTAATACAGCTTAAATGTTGTGGGTTTATTAAAACCCTCAATATATGACCATGCTTTATAGTTTTTGTGTTTCAAAATTAATTGTCTTAACTTTTCTGATCTTGTTTCCTTCTTTACTTCTTGCAATAGGCCAGGACAGTTGGGTGCTTGTGCTTCATTGGTTTTTTATCAAAGCCTGTCATTTGACAATTACCTAAAGAGAAAGGTGTTAAAATTTCTCATTCACCTTTTTCAATAGTTTTTCCTTGATTGATATCAACTAATTATCATTTTCTGATATCATACAGGATGGAAATAGCAACACCTTTTGTGGACCCTATTTTATCAGAGGTTAAGAAAACTTATTGAAGTTAATCAACGTCATGTTAGTTTTTTATTTGTTTTCAAGAGCATTGACAAAGATTTGAGATATTTCAACTTTTGAAATCCACACGTGATGGTGTGCAACAAGATGTTGAAAGTGCAACAAACAATGTTGAGGTGATTAAAAGATTTGCAAAATTGGCTAAAAGAGTGGATGAGTTGTTGAAGATTTTCATAAGTTAAAAGAAGAAATAAAGAAAATAAAACAAGTCTCGCGGTGGGTAGTGTCCTATTGGGTGTTCGATATCGATTGAGTAGAAAGCAGAACATAAAAGACATATTATGTAAATCTACGGGGAAAGGCAAATTCGGAAAGTTTCCCATCCTGCTACATACCCAGGATTGAATTTTCAGTCCCTAAGATTTTCACTTTTCAAGTCTGCGGAACCTGCTTTTCATCAATTATTATGGCACTAAAAAGTGTCAAACCCATCTGGTTGGATTGTATGGGATGGGCGGAGCAGTTAACAACCTTAGCAAAAGTGGTGGGTAAGAAAGTCAAAGAAGAGGAAATTTTTGATGAGGTTGTGGACACTGTTGTATCCCGAGCTCCAAACTTCAAAAATATTCAATGTGACCTTGCAGAAACTAGGTATGAAATTGGAGGAGGAAGCGAAGAAGAAAGAGCAAAGCGTTTGTATTTGAGATTTTGCAGACTAAAAAGAAGATCCTTATATCTTAGATGATGTTTGGAAAAATTTGACTTGAAATCTAAGATAGGAATTCCTTTTGGCGATGATCTCAGAGGTTGTAAAATCCTTCTAACAACTCGCAGCCAAAACGTATGTATTCGTATGAGTTGTCAGCCACAAGTTCTTCTGAAACTGAATGAAGATGAAGGATTGGCTTTACTTAAAAGCATGCGGTATACTTGATGATGAAGCCCATCCTTAAATGATCTAGTTGTTAAAGTTGCTAAAGAATGCAAGGGTTGCCTTTAGCAATTGTAACTATCGGGAGTGCTTTAAAAGAAAAGGGCATTTTGAATGGAAAATTGTGTTTGAGAAATTAAGAAAGTCAAGACTTGTAGATATACGTAACGCCATTGATGTTGTGGATGTATATGCTATTCTCAAGGTCAGTTTATATTATTTGGAGGGTAAAGAAACCAAGTTATGTTTTTTGTTGTGTTCGTTGTTTCCTGAAGATTATGAAATTCCTTTGGAGGAATTGGTTAGTATGGAATGGGGCTAGCTTTATTTCCATTTGTGACTCAATTGAACAAGCGAGGAACAACTGCGAGTAATGGTTATAAGCTCATAGCTTCTTGTTTGTTGATAGATGCTGGTAAAGAAGGATTTGTGAAAATGCATGACGTTTTCGCGATGTTGCCGTGGGAATAGCATCCAAAGGATATTGTATTTCTTGTTAAAGCTGGCTTGGGATTGACCGAGTGGCCAGAGGAAGCACCTTGGACAATATACTGCAATCTCCTTAATGAACAACAACATACAAATGCTTCCTGATCACCGGTTGTCCAAAGCTCGAAACTTTGTTATTGTCTCGTCAATACTATTATAACGTCGCGACAACATTGATGTTTCAAACCATTTTTTTGAAGGATGAAAGCATTAAAAAATGTAAGTCTAAGTATGTGACCTGTCATTAAAATCACTTAATTTCTTGATAGATCTCAAACTCTAGAGCTGATTCATTGCAATTTGAAGACATTTCTTCTCTCAAAACATCTTGCCAAATTGAAATTCTTAGTTTAGGATTTTCATTGTTTGATGAATTTCCAAAAGAACTTGGGGCCTCACTGAATTAAGATTTTGGATTTACGTGACTGTCGTCGGTTAAGAGAATTCCTTCCAATGTGTACCGAGATTTTCTCAGTTAAAGAATTATGGGGGTGACTACTTTGGCGAAAGGGAAATGAAGAGACGAGTCAGAAGAAGCAATGCTAGCCTTTCTAGTTGAATTCTCTATCCAGTTTGGTTGTATATTTCTGGAAATAAATGGTAAATGCCTTTTAAGGACTTGGGTTCTATTTGCAACAAATTGCAAGGTATGACATTTGTGAATACTTGTACAGAGTTTTTTATGTATCAGAATCAAGAAAAGAGCTTAAACGTGAAAGATATTGAAGCATCCTTATTGATTACGTTTAAATCTTTGTATCATACCCTAGAATATCTATGGTCTAAAAGGAGTGACAGGCTGTGATAGTATCCTCCCGAGCATTGACAAAGGGGGATTAAATAAGTTGATTTCTCTTGTGCTTGAAGATTGTGAAGATGTGAAATGCATCATAGATACAACACAGTTGCATGTTCCAGCCCCTGCCTTCTCTGATTTGGTGAAATTATCTCTTAGAAGGTTAAATCTTCTTAGAGAAATATGTTGCGGTCCATATGAAAAGCTTCAGAGTTTATCTCTTGAAAATTTGGAAACTGTGGATCTAGCAGAATGCCCTGGTATGTGCAGCTTATTTCCAGCAATGTTGCTACAGAGACTATATAAACTGAAACAAGTGACAATCCAATCTTGCGACAAGTTGGAAGAAATATTTCAACTTGATGGGTCTGTCATAGTGGGGAAGAAAATCTTGCTATGCTTTCAAGTTTAGCAAAGTTACACTTGGCAAAGTTACCACAACTGAGATGTATATGGAAAGGGCCAACCCATATTATAAACTTGCAAAGTCTTACAAATGTTAAAGTGAGTGAGTGTAAAAGTTTGATTTATCTCTTCACTTTGTCAGTTGCTCAGAGTTTGGTCCAACTGAAATCACTCAAAGTAAGTGATTGCGAGAGTTTGAAACATTTGATAGTGACAGAAGAAGGTGATAATGACAAGGAGGAGGAAATATTACTAGAATCTCATCATGCAGTTGTTGTGCTCCCAAATTTGGCGAAGTTAAGCATTGGAAAATTACCGCAACTGAGGTGTATATGGAATGGACCCTCTTATCATTTAAACCTCCCAAGTCTCATAGATGTTAAAGTGGGAGAGTGCAAAAGTTTGATTTATCTCTTCACTTTGTCAGTTGCTCAGAGTTTGATCCAACTGAAATCACTCGAAGTAAGTGATTGTGAGAGTTTGAAACATTTTATAATGACAGAAGAAGGTGATAATGACAAGGAGGAGGAAATATTACCAGAATCTCATCATGCAACTGTTGTGCTCCCAAATTTGGCAAAGTTAAGCATTAAAAAATTACCGCAACTGAGGTGTATATGGAATGGACCCTCTTATCATTTAAACCTCCCAAGTCTCACAGATGTTGAAGTGAGAGAATGCAAAAGCTTAACTTATCTCTTCACTTTGTCATATGTTTGGAGTCTGGTGCGGTTGAAATCACTCAATATATATGGTTGTGAGAGTTTAGAGCATCTGGTTATAACAGAAGAGGGTGATAGTGACGAAATATCATCAGAACACGATCTTCAAATCCACAGTCCTTTCTTGTCAAAACTAGAATCTCTCAAGATAAATTCATGTGAGAGATTGGAACATATATTTCCTATCTCTTTTGCACGAGTTCTTGTACAACTTGAAAGGTTTAAAGTAAAAAATGCCCCTCAGTTAAAGCAAGTCTTTTATTTGGATAATGGAAATGAAGAAAATGTAGTTGCCGGAGATGGAAAGGAAACTGTAGTCATCAAGCTCCCTAAGTTGAAAGTACTAAGACTGGATGGACTTGCAAGCATGATTAGTTTCTGCCCAGAAAATTTTCATTCAAGTTGGCCAGCTTTGGAAGATTTCACAATAGACAAGTGCTCGATGTCTTTCGTTACTGAAGTTGTATCTAAAGTACGAGATCTACAAGAGGTATATATCTTACTTTAATTGTTTATCAAGATTTTCTTGAAGTCTTTGGCTTTGTTTTTCGGACATTTTGGTTTAAGAATGAACATTTTGGAATTTAATTAAAATTCAAACAAATAAAAATTCATAACTTTTAATGACTTATATTTAGTTTCTTTATCAGAAATATTAATGTAGACATTGTTTTTTAATTAAATAAAAAAATATTAATAAAGTTGTTTTTAATGATTAATATAGAAAGATTGGGTGTCATCAAATTGTATATTGCCTACTAAGAGCATTTGAGTAGGTGTGGCCACAAATAATTTATTATTTATAAAAACTGTTAATTTAATAATCTAATAATATTCAATAACATAGTTTTACTTTATTTAATTTTATTTTGTGAATCAATGAATTAAAACTAATGGATGACTTTATTATTATTATTATTACTACCTTTAATGTAGGATGTTATAAAATTTTGATAAGATGAATGTGATTTGTTTTCTCCAGAATTTGCGAATTCTAAGGATTGGCAGTTCGAATCAGTTGTACGACACACTTCTTTCTGGACTGAAAGATGGCTTCTTCAAAAATTTGGAAGAATTAAGTATCAACAGATGTGGAGTAAAAGTGTTATTTCCGTTGGAAGACGGAGAGCAACATTTATTCTCACTCCCTAATTTGAAAACATTGGAGTTGGGATATTTGCCAGAACTAGAAGGTTTATGTAGTAAGAGTCCTACGCTTGTTTTAAGCCTGGAGAATCTTACAACTTTAGATCTATGGCACTGCGATAGGCTGAGAAATATCTTCTCACCTTCTCTTGCTCAAAATCTATCCCAGTTGCAAAGGCTATCTATCTATGAATGTGAGGAATTGGAGGAAATCATTGTTGAAGAAGATGAAGAGAATCAAATTCTATTCTTCCAAAATCTCTTAGAAATTGATGTTGTAAGATGCCCTAAAATAAGACGTTTGTTTGCTATCACGGTAGCTCCGTGTCTTCAAAAACTGGAAAGGATACATGTATATGAGAACTCTGAATTAGAAGAAGTATTTGGAGATAAAGATGTTGCTGACGTCATGGATCACAAAGAAATCATGCTGCCTCAGCTTGATTGGTTGTGTCTCCCCCAATTACCAAGTCTCAGCAAGTTGTGCCCAGTGGGTTATCACTTCATATTTCCATCTTTGAGTCGTCTATTGGTAATTAACGGATGTCCCAAGATGAGTACAAGATTTTCCGTGGGTGAAGACAGATGTGTGCATGCCAAAGCAAAGGTACTTACTCCTTTTCAAATCCTTCACTCAATAAAATGTTGGCTTATTATTATTATTATTATTAAAGATTTTGTGTCAAAAATTTGTTTAATTCTTCTCAGAAAAGGAGTTGGGTCACAAATGTAATTTCTTAATTTATTTATTTATTTTCATTTTTCACTCAAAAATTTGTTGTTTTCTATGATGTCACAAATAGCTTATTATTCCATTCGCATTTCATATGCTTCAATTAATTGATTCCGCAGCCATTGAAAATGGGCAACCAAGATAAAATTGCAGACTTCCCTTCAGAGCCTTCCATCGATATCAAGTGCTTCGGTTTTGACCAAATAAAACAAAGTTTACCGCCATACATAGAAAATGATGACCAAAGTATCAAGCAGAAGGAGGAAGAAATTAACACTGAAACTTGAAACCTGCTCATGATTTCTAACCAGGTAATATGGCTGTATTTTAGTTTTCTTTATTTTTGTTGTGTTCTTGTTGCTTTTAATTTAATGATGAGCACAGTATCCACCAACTGCTTGTGGAAATTCCCCATCGTAACTCACATATCCTAAAAGTTCAAAACATAGACTATGGCTATTGCTATGGAGTGCTCCTTAATTTCAGTTTTTATGCATGAATCTTTGTTTGTTCTCGATAATTATACTACTCCTCTTTTATTTGTTTGAATACTCTGCTTCTTCATTTTGATTTTATATCTATGTTTCTTCTTCAAATCGCAGTCCACCAAGCAGAATCACCGACTTTGTAAACAGCACCAAGAGAGACTCCGAAAATGATGAGCAAAGTATCAACCAGGAGGAGGAAGAAATTAACACTGAAACTTGAAACATGCTCATGATTGCTAACCAGGTAATATGCCTGTATTTTACTTTTCTTCATTTTTGTTGTATTATCCACCAACTGCTTGTGGAAATTCCCCAACGTAACTCACATATCTTAAAAGTTCAAAACATATACTATGGCTATTGCTTCTGTTTATTCAAATTTCTTTGGATTTTGATTAATGTCAGTTTAAGTTTCTGTTTTAAGCAACTTTATAAGTGCTTAGTTTTACTTGCTATGTAGCAACTATATAAAGTCACAGTATTCTTCTCCGTTTCAGTTAGTGAAAATGCAAAATTCTCTCAACTCTCTTTTCTTTCTTCTTCTTTGTTTTCCATTTGTTCTTCTTGGAAGAAGTTTGTTCATAAAGAAAGCACAATATTATGGGAAAATCCAGTTCTATTCAATTTGATGTGTCTTTTGCTGCTGTATCTGCACAATGCTACGGAGTGCTTCATCAATTTCACTTTTTATGCATGAAGCTTCCTCAATTTCATTGTGATTTTATATTTATATTTATGAATCAGCTTCATGGCTTATTATGTATGCAGTATTCAATTACAACAATCAATTTCACAATGTAAAGAAAGTGAAGCATCCAGATTTTCTGTCTTGCAATGCAACATCTCCCTTGGCTACCTAAATTACTGGCTTTGACTCTATTGTCCTAAACAATCTAGGCCACCACTTTTTTTTGTGTGGCATTCCTGATCATCGTGAAGTGGGACAGAAGGTTGACATCATGGTGACTCCAGCTTCTCTGCGACCAAGTGCCAGTTCTAGTTATCCTTCATCGCCTTCAGCATCCTCCCCATTACCGCACCCAGTCCTGCTTTCAACACTGCTTCAACTCTCCAATGTTTTAAGCTTTTGCAGGCTTTGGTTTGCCTTGCCATTTGTTGCAGCACTTTTTCACATTTTACTGAAACTGCAGTTTTTGTGTCTTTTGGGATTATTCTCTTAATAACTTGTGCTATTTTGTTCTTGTTTTTGCTGAGATTGTTGGTGTTGGATTTATGAAGTTTATGATGTTTGTATGACTCTAGTTTGCACTAGAGAAGACTTTGTATTCCATTTATTTTGGTGATAGTAAAAGACTTTAATCGGACTAAGGTCCCGTGGTTTTTACTCCTTACATTGGGGAGGTTTTCCACGTAAAAATTTGGGTGTCATTCATCTTTAATTTTCTGTATATATTTATAGCTTTGATTATATGCACTCAAGAAAGAAAAGGGACTGTTGGAAACTAGGTTCCCTAGGAATAACAGATCTATTTGAAGGGATGACAAGTGTTGAGGTTAAGAGTAAGCTTGATTAAGCCAAGCAACAGCTGTAAGGAGTTTAGTAATTAATGTCAATTTAAGTATTCTCTCAAAACTTTTTTCTTTCTTGCCTCTCAAATTTTTCATTGTTTTCTTTGAAGAAGTTTGTTAAAAAGAAAGCAATATTATGGGAAAATCCAATTCTATAAATTGTTGTGTCTGCAGAATGCTATGGAGTGCTCCTTAATTCAGTTTTTATGCATGAGCTTTGTTTGTTCATTTATTTGTTGAATACTCTGCTTCTTCATTGAGTTTATATTTATGTTTCTTCAAGCTATGAGTATATACAGAAGAAATAAGGTAGTAAACATGTTTAGTGGAAAAGTAGCATAAATATGAATATCTATCAATGCAAAACCTATACATTATTACAATTTCATCAAATGAAAGAAAGACGTTACTCATCGCAAACATACAAGGTGGTAATCAATCCAATAGAGAACTGAAATTGATAAAACCACCAAATAATTAAAAGAAATTATGAGAGAGTCCTCGTTCATAGAGGAAGCATTTACATTTGTATACAAGCAATTTTACACTGAAAGATTGAATTTTTCAAGTTGTTATACGATAATTTTGACGCTAAAATATGTCATATCTTTACTTGATATCTTCCTTAAAATCCCAAGCACGCAAAAACCCTCCAGGTGTGAAATAACTTTGATTTTTGTGTTGAAATGTTTCGTTAATTCTGGAAATACAATGTCATGTATTTTATATACATAATGCAGGCCTTTTCTTTCTTCTTTTTAGTGTCTTTGCCTTTAATATTTATATTGATTCATTTATCTTGAACCTTATCATCTTTCTTTTCAAGGGAATTTTATTTAATTTTTGGTAGAATTAGTCAATGTTCGATATCGAGCTGTAAAGCAGTGCACACACATCATATATCAAAAATCAGCTAATGTTCTTGATAGTGAAAACTGAAGATAATCTTGTAAAATCATTTATGTTGAGCTATCTGTAGCTGATGTAATACGTGTAACCTTGGAATGTATAGAATAAATTTCCATTTTCATGATTGCATTGTGATATCCTCTGTAAAAAGATATCCATTCATCTGGTTCTATGAGTTAATCAAGTGAACAAACAAATTGGGGCACAATGATGTCAATAAACCGGGATAAGAAACAGAGAAAGAGAGAGACTTGAACAAATTCCGACAGTTTGGTTATGGTTCTCATATGGGAAATAAACTCAGAGAGATCTGTAAAACTTGGAATATACAGATTACTCTTATAGAACACAAAGCCACTCTGTCATCTAATCATATAGATATACCCACAACACGTTATCCAATTTATAGAAGAAATGATGATTGATAATCTGGTGACAGAGATCTCCAACCGCAGTTTCATTATACCATTTCTCTCCAAATACAAAGTAGAAATCCCCAAAAGACTAATCTTTTTGTATAGCCTGATGTGAAGGTAGCTCCATAACTATTTGCTTATGCAACAAAGGGATGGCCCAATAATGGATAACTATTATAGGGCTACAAGATGGAGAAGACTAATCTGCTCTGTCTCATCTCTATAAAGAGAAATTAAAACGTGCCAAAACCAATAATAACCAAAAATAATGAGATGTGTTTTGGCTGCGTAGGTAGACAACGACAACTTTGCCTCTCTCTGTACACTCCTCTTGAATCTTGACTGGAGTTTGAATTCCTACATGCCGTCACACAGATGAACAACCATAAATCAAACCTTATTATGTATCACTCTAATGAAACCCTTGTGGTTCACCCAATCATTTTATAATCAAGCAACCGTATATAAAACCTTATTATATAAATGAGTAAAGAAAGGAACAAGAAGAGAGGACTTTTTATTAACAATGAAGATGACTTTGATGGATCAGCTCACATGCACAACATATATATAGATTTTTAATTAGCACAAGCGACAGCAGCCATCCAAGTTGGGACAAATGGGCAGCCTTAATTAGCTCATCTTTTTACACAAATGAGTAGACTATATCAGATTCAAACTTCACCAAGTAGACTTTATCAGCCTTGCAAATTCCCTTTCTTTCAGCTTCATCAACAGTGGATTGAACAAAATTGAAACTGTGGAGAATTAAATTTATATATGTTTTGAGTGCGTTGAACCATTCAATCTAACCACATACATATATCCATGTTTGTGAACAGTTATTTTCTTTAGTGGTTGGAAAGTTGTTGAATGGCAAACTAAACGTCCCTCAAGTTAAAAGAGTGATCCCTTAGCTTGCTTAATTATAAGTAAAAACACCGTCGTCCTGTTAAGTCTAACAGGTTCTCTCACGTATAATGTCGGTTGACTGTGTAATATAAGAATGGGTGAAACCCTGATCGAATATATGATTTGAAAAGTTTTACAAAGTTAATATTGAACGATTATAGACACTAAAAAGGAGAAAATTGATGAAATCAATGAGAAACTATACAGGAAATCGGAGATGGAGAGAGAGAAACTTGGACAAAATTTACTCTTTTTACTCTGCAACAAAACCTTGGTGTCATCATATGTACCAACAAAACTATCTATGGAACCCTCCCTAAAATTTTCTCCTCCATCCGAAAAATAGAGCTAGAAACATCACCGATCAGTAATTCATTCACTGTCTATAATCAGATGTCCCTCCTCGTGTCAATTCACTTCAGGAATGCTCTGAAGAGCCGGCCGCCATGACCGGTGATGCGACTCGTAACGATCACTGACGTTCATCAACTGGACCAAAACTTGCTGCACTGACAACTCCTTTACGTCCACCTTACCCAGCAACTCCTCCAGCTGCTTCTTCGTGATCTTGATCTTCACCTCCGTCGTTCCCGTTGTTGAAGACGACGTAAATCCAAGCTTATAATTACCCCCATCGCCACCACCTCCTCCCAGTAGCCCCTCCTCCTCCTCCTCCATTTTCAATCCCTTCTCACTCCTTTCACTCGCCAATGAACCCCAGTCCTCCCCCGCCCATTGCATAGACGACGATTCATGCCTTAAACAATTACCCATTTAAAACTTGTTCTTGATTTTTCTTTTTTCTTTTTGTTTTTATTATTTTGTTGTTTTTGCGAGGATTTGGAAATGGAGAAGGGGGGGAGTTATTTATATCAAGAGAGAGAGAGTGGAGGATAAAGATGGAGGATGATGGTGGGAGAGAAGTGGAACGAAAGAGTCAAACCTAATACGATGCCACGTTGGATAATGTGTCTCTGACATGGCAGGTGATGAGAGTTGACCTCATCACCAACTATTCCGGATTGGCTTCAACTCGGTCGATGGGAGACTATCAAGCCGCCGATAATTAATTAGGGTTCACATTATTTATTTATTTTCTTTTGATTTAATTTTGCAAACTTTGATTGAATATTCAAGTTTTTTTTGTTCAAACAAGGAGTGCCATCTAGATATTTCAACTAAAATTTATTTTATGGAATTTATTAAATTATATTGATCATATTATCTTTTTTCATGATTTTCTACATATTTTTCACTTGTTTTTGTTGGAAATGAATATTTATTCAAATACGGAGTGCGATACAGTATCTATTAAAGTTTGATCTAGTAGTAGTATCGATCTTTTACTTGTAAAGGCAATCCCATTATTTTTCTTCATTCTAACAATGTTTTTCACATGTTTTATACAAATTAAATGTCTTCTTAATAAGTATTCTATTGTTCATTATAATATGTATTTTTTTTCCTTTATAATCCAAAAATCTTTCGACCCATTTATTAAAGATAAATGACTTTTTTCCACCCAAGGTTTGCCTTAATGACACTTACCCATCCAAAAAGTTTTAAACTACCACATTCTTATCTCACTTTTATATTCTGTTAATATTCAAAATATACTTTACTTTTTCAATTGGTATTCGATGAGTTATCAGGAATTAGAGTAAGAGAGTTTTTGTAGAATGAAAGCTAATAGATCGAATGGTGATGATCGATTGAATATTCACCATCGGAATCAATCAGAAATCAACTAAGAATATAAAACCCTAACTTTGTGATGATTGAAAATCGACTAGAAATCAAATACCAAGATTTTGTAGAGAAGAGACCAGAAGTTCAAATACAGGTGATGGAGAGAATTTTTGGCGCTAAGTAAATTAAATTTAAACCCGTGACTTCTAAGAAATAAAATAAGTCGAAAATTTTTATTTTATTTTTTTCTAATGTAAAAGAGTCATAACCATCTAATAAACAACTAAACTATTCTTACATTCAAAAACTATAATAAAAATAATGTATTTGGTAACCTCAAGTAACTAATGTAATAATTAATCATCTCCTAAACTCATATAAAAACCCTAAAAAATTCCTTATTCAAAAGCACTTCCAATTCCAAACAAGTCACATGAGTCAAGGCAGGTGTTCGGTGCACCCAAACCCAACCAAGCCATGAAGTCGATCAACTTTGTCTAAGCCAAGCCTTGAAAATTTAAAAAAATAAAATAAAATAAGGGCTCGGGTTTTGAGGTGTGAAAAGGGTTGGGGATGGAATCTTTACAGCTTAAAGCAGGTGTGAACACAAATGGTTGAAAGGAATCTTTTATTTAGATGCCATTTCTCTTTCACGTTATAATAATCATTATATTCAATTCTAATTAACCACCATTACTCCAATTATGGGTTTAGTCTTATCCATGATTCCTTTCATGAGAAATTTTGAAAAATAAAGAAATGGGTTCATTTCCATGTCATGTGGACGTAGAAAAATAATAAAAGATACCCAATTTTTATTTTTATAAATTAAAGCTTTATTTGAATTAAATTGACTAATAATACCAACATTAGCTTTATTTTAACTTTTGATTAATTTAATCTTGATTTATAAAAATTTAGTCACGATTTAAATACGATCCAAAGTACAACTCAAAGTACAATGAGTAAGAAATTCTTTTACGAGTAATTATCTTTTTACTTTTTTGAGAAAATATTCGAATTATATATATTAATTAAAAAGATTCCCAAACTTTAAGGAAAACAATTAACAGTAAACCAAATTAATTAATTAATCTATGTATTGTGATTTTAATATAACCATGATTCCTTGTTTATTTTAATATTAAGACCTTAAATATATATAAAATAAATTAAAATTAAAAAAAAATGTTCACTTTTTTTTAGGATGGTTGGTGAGTCTAATTAAGTTGGTTGCCTCGATCATAACATTAAACACTCCTTCACGTTCACTAATCAATTTCCAAAACCAACCCTAATTTTAATTTAATTACATAAAATTAATTAATTATTTTTATTTTTCTAGCCTTCATATTAATTTGTATATAAATATTTATATCAATAAGGAAAGATGTATAGTTGGTGAGTCCAAATTAGTTCACTTGAATTGATCTAAGCTTTATGTCATCTTGCACCTGCTTCATTGGGTTTTCTACACGTGGCACCCAACTTCAACGGTGGAGATTGCTCCTGTTACACTCACCGTTCCTGTCGTTATATCACCTTTCATAGAAGAAGAAACAACATAGATCTATCACCAAGATTTTTTTACTTTTTATATTAAGCAATGCCACTAATGTACGTATATAAAATAGGGTTATTGTCAAGATTTTGTTATAAAAATTAATAAAATCTGTATCATTTTTCTTTTATTTTAATCTATCTATTTAATTTAATTTTACCCCTTTGGATTACACCATATCCGTCAATTTATATGACTTAATGCTGTTAATTTTTACTTAATTAAGAGTCAAAATTAAAATTAGTTATAATTCAATTTTGTAGACCTACTATATTTACAATTTTGGTAGGTAGAGAATATCCAATGGCGGCAGGAGCTGTCTTTATATTCTTCTTCATGCGTTAATTTTTGTTTTTTTCCCAATTATCATAAAGATGTATATTTTATTGATAAGTTGTTGAAGAAAATGCCTGGAGTTATTTAATTATCAATTAATTTATTGAATTTTGTAGCGTATGGTCCAAGTGGTTATTGTTAAGTGAGTTAGAATTAGAAATCAAATCAAATCAAACCAGCTTAGTCATGTTGAGTGTTTGACCTGAAAAATAGATTCAATTTTGGTGCAATTATATGTTTTTACTTGACTTAATTACATGCTTGATTCAACCATGCAACAACAATAATAACCAGAATCATTCCATATATGTCACACATATTCTTATAACCTATTATACTAAATCAAATTTGAAACAAATCAAAGCTATTCCTAAGAGATAATGACTATATATATATAACATAAATTGTCACGTGTAAATGTTCCTATATACTATTTAAGTGAAGATAATGTTTTGGTCAAATTTATTGTATTGAGAAATAAAAAAATGAATCATCGTTGGGTGATTTGACGGTGAAATAGCAAAGAAAAATATAATGTGGTTTTCTAAATTCAAGCCCTTTTGATGGTAAAAGAGTAAAATAAAAATCTAACATAGTCTTTTGAATTCGAGTCCCTCCGACTGTTAATAAGAGTGCTATTAAAGTTTTTACCTAATAATTTTAAGGTCTTAATAGATTATTTGAAATATATACAAACCGGCTCGAATACTCTTATTGATTTAAAATAAAAAAAATAAAAAAAGGTCTTCAACGTATAGTCATGCTAATTAATTAGACTAAATTTATTAAAAAAATTAGTTTGATGATTGAATATGAAAAATCTTTATGAAAAGTTCCACCTTGTCAGGCAATGATGAAGAGTGGAAAAATTGAGCGCCAACTTCATCTTATTTGGCACGAATTATTATTCTTCAAAATAAATAAAAAATAAAAAAAGTCGATATCAGATTTTGTAACAATTGGTCAACCACTATCTTATTGTAGTACAGATAAATTTTGGCAAAAAGCATTACGTGTTTACGCATGTTCAAATTGAAAATAAATATAAAAACTTTATAATTTTCTATTTTTTTTTAAACCTTTAATATTCTAACAGCTGGATATATGTCTTAAATTAATCTAAGATTTAATTAATTAATTAAAAAAGAAAATGGGTATAACCCTGGTTAATAATGAGTCAATGCTCCGATGCAAAAAATTGAAACGTGCATTTTGTTTTCGTATTTTTTTTTTTTTTAAGTAACTGACTTTATTTTTATTTATTTTTAAATATATGAACCTTAAAGTTAATATAAACCAAACTAGGGTGAAAAATATATTTAATAAAGTTTGGGTAAGAAAATGTTATTCACTCTCATTAAAATATTCAGTTACATTAATTCTTTATATGTTTAAATCATTTTAGGTGGTTCATTATTGTTTCAAGTCAAACTCTTGCTTCTTCGAGTATACTTTTGAGTCAAATTGTCTCCTCAAGGTAGCTTCACACATGAACTCTTATAAATTTTAATGCCATAATATAATACTTCTCATAAGTTATTCTTAACATTGATACAAATTTTTTAATGTTATATATTTTTTTAAGTCCGAAGTATATGTTAGTTGATTACGTAAATTGTTAATTTGTGACTTTATATCTTAATTGATGAACTAATTGGAAGGAATGTTAAAATTTGTGTGAAAAGTTTAGGACTTACTTTATATACCTTTTGGTGGATCGACAAATATTAAAATTTTGCATGGTTATCAAAACTATCATACTTCTATCATATAGATTTATGGTACTTTAATAAAGGATTTGATAAACATGGATAGGGGTGGCAAAAAGGGTGGGTCGTAGGGATCGCCAACCCATCCTCGTCCTCATCCCCATCCCCAAATTAGAACAATTTGAGGAGGGGGCTAGTATCCCCAAGCGGAGATCAATATTTGATACTAATTTGTGAGCTAGGGATAGTTTAACTGAAAGTCATGTTGGTGTTGAGGTAATGAATCACTTTTCAGATCTTGCAAGATGTTCATTAATCTTCATAAACTACTCAATGGCTCATGTGAATTGAATCTTGTATAAAATTTGTATTTTGGGTGATCCCACAACTTTAAGAAAACTCTTTATCTTTCAAAGAGATTTCAAATAGTATTGATCTTGTATTTTGAAGGAACAACGTGAATTCATCACAAACTTTGA